GTTTCTCCGGTACCGGGAACCGAACTCAGGACTTTGCGCTTGCCAGGCAGGCGCTTTTGCCGCTGAGCTAAATCCCCAGCCGAAAATTCAACATACATAAAGCAGTCCTATAACACTAATAAAGTAACAATCACGTGCAAAGCCAACTTTAAAAATTTGTGTTTATCAATGTTTCATTATTTTCCAAATTTCTTTTCAGAAAATATTTTACGTTAAAAATACTGTAACAAAATAATTACACAAAGAGTCACATGGAAGATTAGAGGACTGTGTTCAAAGCTACAAGGGCGTGACTTGGGGAAAATGCTGATACTGCAGCTAAATGACTGGGTTCTAAAAAGCCAGCCTGTCATTGAACAGTAATACTTTTTTCACGTTCTAGCCAGACCATATTTTCCCATGGTAGAGTTAGACACCCAAAAATAAGCACACCCATAACTTTTATACTTACACCAGATGCAGCAGAGAAAAATGCTTTTTACATGCACAAGTGACAGTTTTATACTCTTCCATATGGAATTGTGGAACTACAGACATAACATCAATAATAGACACATATTATAGTTTGAATTCATGAAGTGGGAATTCATGACAAAGGACAATAATTTACCAATTATGTATCAGAGGCATTTGTGAAGTCTGAAAATATTAAAATATGTATTTCTGGTATGGTGACTAGCTGTTAACACAAAAATGACGCTGAGACTCACATATAAAAGAAACATTATCAAGTAGACTTAAATAGACCTTGTGAGTAGTTAATAGCTAGTAAAGGCTTAATAAGTACCAAGAAATTTAAAATTAAAGGAGAAGATTGAAGTTTCCCTTAAGGGTGGAAAAAACACCCAGCACCACACTGATTGAACATTTTTTAAACTGCCACAGGAAAGTCACATTTATAATTTTGAAAGCTGCTGAAGACTGCTGTAGAAATGAAGACAAACAGAAAATAGCAGACAAGTAAGCACTAATTCAATGAAAGCGAGACATGCAAAGGCTAAAATACCAGGGAAAGAAAAAGATTGTAAAATAAAGTTGGTTTTTTTTTTTTATTTTCAAAAATTGGTATATAATATAATGTAACCAAGACTTGTCACTTTGATTCTTTGGAGCAAGAAATAGCTTTATTATTTCAAGAAAAAAGTACTACTTAGCCTGCTAAGAAAATTCCAAAATAATATTATTTACTATGTTTTACTTAGGCTTAAATTTAAAAGCTGTTCAAGGATGTTACAGCACATTTCAGTTGCTCTTAGTGTTTGAAGCTAAAATTACATGTTTTAATAACTTCACATTCATTTCCTACAGGGTAGAACACAGGAGAATTATTCAAAATAAATGTTAAAAATCAAAGTTATTGCAATAAAAAATTAAGAAACTAGCCATGAAAGAAAAAAATAAAAATTAAATTAATATAAAAATAATTATAACCTGGCCTGGTGGTCCACATCTATAATCCCAGTACTCAGGAGGTTGAAGCTAGAGGATTGCCCTGAGTTCGAGAACAGAGACTACATAAGTTTAAGGCCAGCCTGTACTACATAGTAAGATCCTGTTTCAGAAAACAATAATAGTAATAATTATAATAAGATGTTTTCCTGCTTTAATCTTTCATTCCTTCAATACATATTTGTGATCTATCTCAGTAAGTTTCATAAAGGCAGGGGCCAAAATGCATAACATACTATTGGTATAGTATATAAACTCAGTATCTGGTGAATTTTCTATAATAAATACATTCTGAATGAATGAGAAAGCACACACCTAAGCCTCTAGCATGACTGAAGGAAGCTATTGGGCACTGTGATCTCTAAACAATATAATCCTACATAATTTATTTTTAAAAAATTTAATGCCACCAGAATAAAGTTATTTCCAAGTATATATAGGGCAAAAGTGATTGAAAGTATGAAAGAGATAAATTTTTTTTAAAGTTTGACTAAAGAGTGTGTACCAGTATTCTTAAATGAAGGTAGGAAACAGGCAACACAAAAAGACATAAAGAAGAAGTGTAGAAGTCAGTGTAAAGGCACTGTTTAACAAAGAATCAGAGAAGGCAGATTTCAACGTTTTATAAATGATCACCTCTATTACTCTATTTTGATCTATCTTAATATACGTAAGTCAACTTTAGAAAATACTGAACTTCCATCATTTAGAAAGCATTTTGCTAAAGCTGAGAAGGGACACAAAAACAAAGTCCTCTTCTCCTATGAACCAGAATTTAGTGAGTGAGTTAGATGCAGTAGTTATCCAAACTAAAGCCTTCATTAAAATAAACCATGAGTTAACAATGTTGTTCTTAAACAGTAGGATATTCCAGGACGAAGGAAAGGCTATTAGACTACACAGGCTCCCATTCAGTGTTTTTCAACAGCAGCATAACTGCTGCCAAATTTTATTGGAACAATTCTGGGCTTCCATCTTAACTGAACCATTATTAAATAAAATTAAAGTAAAACCTTATCCCCTATGTACAGATGTAATTGAGGGAATCCCTGTCCCTAAAGGACATTTTATCACAAAACCTGAAATGACATTTCATGCCTGAAGAAGGTGGGGGTTCTTTCCAGTGTCCTCCTCTAAATAAGCTTGAAATACTCTAATTTGCCCTCCAATTTGAACATCACCATCAGAAAAGTTTTCCATGATGATGCCCAATCTATTCACTCTTCAGTTAGTACCTTCGGATCATTATTTCTGAATGTAAATTACGTAAGTAAAATTATGGGTCTGTATTTCCATATCCAAGAGCTCCCCCTAGCAGGGACTGTGTCTCATTACCTTTGCAAACTACAAATGTATATTAAGCTGATGTAAAACCAAAATAGGTCTATGGAGTAACGACTTTCTTTAAAAGACAGTCATCATTTTGTAAACCATAAAGTATATCAAATCATATTTCAAACGCACTGGAATACTGAATTTGAATACAACCTGATGCAAAAAAACCAGGAATATCTCCAAAGAATTATTTCTATATTGCCCAATCATGTAGACATACTGGGCTAAATTTAACCAATTACAATAATGGTTATAACTAAAAAATTATGCTGGTGACCTGCACAATACTTCAAATCTAGAAATAAGTATTAACTACTGTATTTAATAAAAAGAATTTAGCTTTATTTGACATAATGATCCGGAACTGGCAAATCAATTGTTCTGGCAATTCTGAGTCTGACATAAAACAGTTAAGAGAGGACTACCTGATGGGCCAAAATTTCCACAATAGCCTAACAATAAGGTAAGATTTCACAAATGCATATTTCCAAAAAGAAGAAAAATACGCAAATGGGTAAAAGAAAAAATTAAGAAAACACCATCATTACAATGGAAGCAAGCTCTGGTCTGTTATATAATGTCTTCACTAAATTTCATTTAGAGTATACTAGGAAGGTCAAACCAAAAGTTCTATACTGGCTGATAGAGACAAAAAGTCATTTTAAAATTTATGCCGGGCTTGGCAGCGCACCCCTGTAATCCCAGCACTCAGAAGGCTAAGGCGGGGGATCAGCGCAAGTTTGAGGCCAGCCTGGGTTACACAGTGAAATTAAAGGCTAGTATGAATTACATAGTGAAAACCTGTCTCAAAAAACAACAGACAGGCCTGATGGTGCACGCCTGTAATCTCAGCACTTGGGAGACAGAAGCAGGATTGTCCTGAGTTTGAAGCCAGTCTGGGCTGCATGGTGAGTTCAAAGCAAGTCTGAAATATGTAGCAAGACCCTATCTCAAAAAAGAAAAAACAACAACAAAAAAATTTGTATCTGCCTTTAAGCAGTTAACACCTTATATGTAATTCTACAATATTATTAATCTTGTCAGCAATTTCAACCTCCTCCTGCCACTAAGTCAAATTTTAAGGGTAACAATCCAAACCCCCAAACACTGGAAAATCAGGACCAAATAACCTTTCAAACACTACATTTAACTCCTGTTTCCCACTTGACCACATACAATGGTGGGTTTACAAAAAGATCAAGTGCCAAGTCTTGAACAAGATCTTGACTATATCAGAGCCAAGATTATGCAAATGTAAGAAATTTGGGATGAAGAAGAAAAAGGAGACAGAAAAGAAGAAAAATATACAAGACCAAGTTTGAAACAGATGCAAATAAACTAAAATACAGCTTTTAAGGTAAGTTGCCTCATCTGAAAGAAGAATCTTCAAGTCAGCAATCTGCTCAACATCCCCAAGCTGATTAAAATTCATGCTAAACATGCACTTAAAAACAGCACTGTTAAATTGTTGAGAAGGGTCAAGAAAACTAATATTTATTTAATACCATCCCCCCAGTCCAACAATTTAATATGGTCCTGATAATGATATTACTACTCTTTACCAGCCTGCACACAGTACTCAACTGTAACAGATCATCTATAGAAATGTAGTAAAAGTAGAAAAACATCAGAGACCACGAAGTATTCTAAAAAAGGAGATAGGCCATACAAATTGAAGTGTTCCGGTTAAAGAAAAAATATATATACATGATTCATAAAACAATGACTTGTATAAAATTATAAAAACTAAACTGAGGTTGGTGGGAAAGACAATGATAGCTGGGGCTTATTTTAAGAGAGATGGTTTGCTTTTTTTTCCTTTCTAAAATAAGAAAAGCCTTAAATTTTAAGTACTTAAAAATCTGTTCAAATGCTTTAACCTCAGGTAAAAATGTAAGGAGAGTCACATGATTAAAATCCTAAAAGCTATCTCTTCACCCTTTCCTAACAATTTTCTGATAATCAGTTAAAATAGCAACATTCGCACTAAAACACCAATTTAATATCATTTTTCTCAATTTGACAACCAGACAAGCTAAAGCGATACAGACAGCCAAAAAGCAAGAGCTCTGCAGCATGCATCGAGGTCAATGACACTTACCTGCCGCTCTCAGACCATATTACAATAGGTCATGCAACATGAAACAAACAGAAGGCAAATTACTTAAAGGTCTGTGAACCTATTATTTTTCTTTTTATTTAGAGTTAGAAAAAAATGAATTCCTGAAATAAACACATAAAGTCAATTTTAACTTTTAAATTATCTGCAAAAACTAAGTAATTTAGGTTCACACTTACCTTTTAATATTATGCCCAAAGTACTGAGCTCTGAATGGCCTTCACGAACAGATTTGTTTAAAAATACTTGTATGTGCATAGAGAGTAATAGGAACACAATCACTTTTTTCTCAACTGCCATACAATTTTTCCTAAATACTTCTAATAATAAATCTTGAAGTAATATTTTCCTTTCTGCCAAAATTTTTCATTGAGATGTTTTCACTAGAGTAGATATCAAATTAGACCATAATCTCCAATTAAGAGATATAAAATCTCTTATAAAAATTCAGACATCATATCATCATAATTTCATCTATAAAATATGACTTCCAGTTCTAGAAGGCACCAGAAATTTCACTCAAACAATTCATAGCTCAGTCATGCAAAGCAGTTAAAAAGATGGCGAAGTGAAAACATTCATTTAGTGCAAGACAGACGCAGTCTACTGCAGGCAAAGAGAAATAGATATAAAATCATCTTCTCACTTTCAAAATCAAGGAAAAAATTTGGCCCCTGTTCAAGGTCTGTGCATGTCAAAACTTTAAGAAGATTCCCCATGTTAAGGTACCTGTCAAGACAAGAATGAGAAAAGAGAAAATATCCCTTTATAAAAAAGAACATCTGAAATTTATTTAAAAAAAAAAAAAAAAAAGTAACAGGGAAAATATTCATTAGGCCATGAATTCATCCTTCGGGTTACCCAGACTGTGCTCTGGCAGACAGCAAACCGGGTTCTCAAGGTGTTGATATGTAGGACCTAGAGGTGAAATATGGTTTTTCCTCTATACAATGGCACAACTGTTGCTCTAATTCTTCTCAAAATCCTCCCAAGTTTCATTAATGGCCTTATAATGAAAAATTCTTTAAGTATTCCAATAGTGCTAGTATTCTGAAAAAGAAATTCTGATCAAGAATTATTCACATTTGATTTTGTTAATATAGCACTGAAACGTTTTTCAAAGCCAAATATTAAGCGGTTTGGCCAAAGCTCACCTTTGCATCTCCTTTTAAAATAGCAGAATATAGAACTTACTTCCTGTATGCAATTAAACAGAGTATATATCTTTAACCAAATTTGGATCATCAGTAATTTGTGAAGGTTATTTAAAGTGTTGGTTTCAGACATGCAGCACAACTGTTTTTTTTAAATTATAGGATTATAAGCAAACAGACTGTTTGGCAGAGTCACTAAAGCATACTATTAGAATGTTCATCATAAGGCTACTTGCTTCATGGACTAATGAAAGGACAGCACTGGCTACAGACTCAACATGATTTTAGCAAATGAAAAAAAAAAGAATTATACATATGATGGTGATGTTTGCCTACGATTAAGAAAAAAATCATGCAACCTTTATTTGATCCCCATGTTTAATCAACAATTACTCTGGCTGGCCTTCACCGTGGTGTGAATATAATTAATCCTTCACCTTTACCATTATGCACCAGCTGTGAAGGGCTAAAGAGACTTACTTTCAAAGTCCAAGAAAAAATGTGCTGCATTGTGGTCTATGTCCCTGGTTAGCACCTTAATGAGATTACCCATGCCAGCAAACCTAAAAATAAAAATGGCAACATCATTTAGTTCCAGTAAAAAATTTTATGCAGAGGCCTGGGATTCGGCAAAGGCTGGCTTGCTCATAATTACCAACAGGTGCACGTTTATATGCTTCTGGCAATAAAAATTTGGAACAACAAAAGCACATTTGCCTGAATTTATAGCTCCTACTCCTCATATCCACATATCAAAAAAAATTACATAAAGTAAGATGAGAAAAAAAGGTTATATTTTTACATATAACTTGCAATATTCACATTTGAGTAACAGCTACATTAATGTTGTTCCTTAAAATTGTAAAGGTATATATCCTCAATTAAAATTAACACCAAAACTAGATTTTTCAGTTAAGCAGATATAGAAACCATTATTTTTAAATTAATAGGGACACTTTCCTTCTTGCTGAATCAAATCCTACTAGGAACACAAAGAAGATAGTATTCAAACCACATTTAACCATTAGACTGAAAGAATTTATTCAATAATGATCCATTTAAAAATTACCACACAAGTCTCAATATTTCTTATATTTTCTATTTAATCAAACTTTTATTATTTAATTCTTTCACTAAATAGCAACTATACACAACTACACATGGTATGTGCCTTAAACAAGTACACAAGGAAATTACCACTAAGTTTACAGAAGAGAAAAAAGCAGTAAGGCATCAGCATAAATCTTTCCAAGAATTTGCTGTAATTCTGCGATGGGAGGTGGTGTCACAGGAACTCAGGAAACCAGGTTCAAACCTGGGAGCTGCAGTGACAACAGGGAAGGCAAACTATAATATTGAGGCTGCCCACACGTTCCCTCCCTCCACCTGCAATACTTACTCTCCAAGACTGAGCTGCCAGCATATTTATACAACAAAATATCAAAGCAGTAATATTCGTATTAATAAAGACGGCCTGTCATTCACCTCCATTATAAGAAGTCTGAAAGGAACTAACCCTGGGGGGATCTCCTGCACGGCCCATCCCTCCCCCACCTGGTCCCAGAAATGGCTTGTGTTCTTGTCAGTTTCCCAGATACATACATAAGACAATCAGTTTTGTTTACAGACTGAAGTCAGACGGATGGAACACATTTCTCATAAAATGTGAAAGGAATCTCATTTATTCACAAGTCTGATAAATGCTGAATGGTCCTCTGTGTAACAAATATCTGTTCTTAAAACATTTTCATGTTCTGAAATTGTACAATGTTTTGCATAAGTGGATTAACAGATAATTCAGTGGATTGGCTGAGGGAAGTATTTAATATTTTACTGTGATTATCTTTTTTTTTTTTTTTTTTT